AGCAGTTACGTAAGGGGGCATAATTTTAAAATTAAAAAGCAAAACACTAAAACTATTTTTCTTTTCCATAAAAAAAATAATGAAATATTGCACTGGCCATTAGGGATTTATTAAAACTGAAAATTTACAACAAATTCAATTACTTTTCCTTTTTGTCCTGGAAAAGCAAAACTTTATTAATGGACTTTTCACATCTCTTCCCTTTGAGAATACAAAATATTCTTGTCTTGACTCCGGGCATTCTTGTTAAAAAGATATGAGACCAGTGGCGGCACCTGTCTAATGTCCAATTCAATCCACCCACGTGTTGTTTTGAACGGCCACTGGCCCTTCGTTGAACAAAGTAGTAGCATTACTATAAATAGGGCATCAAACTGCACCAAATATGCACATCAAAACTCAAACCAATATCTTTCAGATCATCTTCAACAACTGAAAAGTTCATATCAGTACGTTTGAGTAATCTGCTTAATTACTCTCTTTCTTATACTTGTTGGCAATACATTAATCCAAATGGCCAGAAGTAGTCTGAAGCCTCTAATGATCGAGATCAGCTTCTTCATGGTTCTTGTCATCGCAAGCTCTTTATCGGAAGCTCGTCCTCTGACGGCGCCGCCGCGGAGCTCGACGAGCGAAGGCATTGAGTTTCTCTTTGAAGGGCTGTACATTGAAGGGATCAAAACCGGAGGTCCAAGTTCTGGAGGAGGTGGTCACAATTTCCCTAATGCAGTTCAAACTCTAGGAGGGATCAAGAACTCTGGTCCAAGCTCTGGCGGAGGTGGACACTGATGATCATGATCATGATGATGATGAGTTTAACTACAGCTTGAGCTGTTATGATTTAACCAATATTGCATTTCATTCATTATATACGTTACGTAATTCTTTCATGCTGTTGTAGTAATTAATAAGCTTTATTGGTGGTTTATTTTCTTTTGTGAGGTCGTGTGATGTATTATAGTCTCTTAATCATTACAAGAATGCAAATTATTATTAATTGTTTTTGAGTTCTTCGGCGTGTAATATATTTCTAATTTGAATATTTGATTATGGTTCATGCTTTGTTCTATAAAGATTCATCAGGAGTTAGCTGCTGTTTGCTTATTCGATTCACGCCTTAAAAAATGAACGTCTCAAATATAAATGCAAAAAATTACGTGAAGAGATAATCCTAGTATTGTTTCTTATATATAGGAAAACAACATACAGCTCATAATATAGTTCATGCTATATGTCGTTTTCATTCCTCTCATTCATTCTTCAATGTAAAACGACATAGTCTGCGTGTTTAGTTTCAGTTTTGAAGCCGTTTTCACGTTTTCCAACAAGAAAAAATAAAACTGGGAAGGAGATTGCGTTTGGAGTGGATGAAGGACAAAAAATGGAAAGAAAACTAGATTTTAGTTTAGTGTAATATGAGAGAGAAACTAAAAACAGAAATAAGTCGTTTTCATTTTTACCATTTCAAATATGAGGGTAAAGTGAAAAGAAAGAAGAAGATTATTTAATATATTCTTTAAAATACTATTAGATGTTTTCAAAAAAGTATAACTAAACGAAGTTTGAGTTTTTTTTATATTCAAATAATCTCTCAATAAAGCTATTAAACGTATTTTCAGAAATGATTTTTGTATGAGATTGAAAATATTTTCATTTCTAATTTCATACAAAAAACAGAATTATTTTAAAATGGGTTCTAAACGCACCCACGTGTTTTTTTTTTTTTTTTTGCTCTGTAGTATTTCTAATTACTGTTTTAAGAAGGAAGACCAAACGCTTTAGCACTATAAAACAAAAGCAAAATAAAAAATGGAAATATATTTATGAAGACTCCGGACTCCCTATGTTAAAAAGTAGGAGTGTTCATGGGTTGGGTTGGTGCGGGGTATAATTTTTTTTCCCCCGCCCCAAAGGGTGCGGGTTGCACATATTTGGCCCCAACGATGTTAGAAAAATTTCACAACCCAACGATGTTCGGGTTGGGTTGGGGCAGTGCGGGGTGGGTTGGGTGGTCGGTTTCAACATTCAAAAAATCAAAGACTTAAAGTTCAATATAATATTCAAAGTTCATCATTAAATAGAAATAGCAACCATCTTTATCGGTTCATCTAACATTAAACATGAAGCATAGTAGTCCATCCAACATCAAATACAAAGCAAATATAAATTAGTCTAGATCCAGAAGTTTGGGTGTTGTTGCTTGATGATGATAAGAAGTTGTCCATCCTAAACCGAAAAATAGACAATGCTTAAAACATTGATTAATACGCTAAACAGACAATGCTTAAAACAAACATTCATTAATACGCTAAATACCATACACTTTGTGCGTATGATTGGATTCAAATAATTTTTTTTTCTTAGTTGAGGAACATAACCTATGCTCGAATGCTTAAAACATAACCTATGCTCGAAGGTAATCTGGTGCTATATAACATAACCTATGCTCGAACATAACCTATGCTCGTAGGATCTTCAATAACATAATCTCGAATGTACAATTAAAACAAATCAAATGTACATAATCTCGAATAAACTAACCTTCAGAGTCTAAGGTCTGGAAGAAATAGGGATCAACTAGCCACTCTTCCGATCAACCACTAGCTTCTGCCAATCCGTTGGTATCCCCCCCCACCCACTCTTCAACCAGCCAACCAGCCACTCTTCAAGTCGATCACGAACCAAGAAACATCAAAGGAGAAATCAAATTTCCAATCCAAACAAACACTAAAAAAAAAAATAGAGATGCGAAAGAAGTGAGAGAGAGAGGTTTCGTTACCTCCGGCTCCGACTCCAAGACGAGACACGAGAGGGGCTCAGGGGCGACTGAGACTGAAGGCCTGAGGGGAGTTGTGAGACTTAATGCCTGAAGGGAGAGGGGCGGCGCCGGCCGAGACACGAGAGACTAGAGAGGCCGAGAGGGAACTGGAAACTCGGAAGAGACGAGAATGAGAGAGTAATGCAGTTTGCCTAATTGCCTTGCCTGCCCTAGCCCCTAATGCGGTAATGAATGGGCCGAAGGCCTGCTGGGCTGGGTGAGTAATGCTGGGCCTGAGAGAGCACGGGCTGGAAGTAAACTTAATGGACCAAACTAATCATGGGGCTGTGTTGTGCGGGTTGGGTTGCGGGTTGTTATGTGCCCAACCCACAATTCGCCCAAAACACTTGGATTGAAGGTATAATGGGCCGAAAATTAAAAAATAATGCTGCGGGTTGCTTTTTTCGGGTTGGATTGGGGCGGTACGGGGTGAGTTTGCGGGTGGTTCGGGTTTATGAACAGTCGAATCCCTTCCTCTAGAGAGGAGTTCCCCTTTCCTACTACTTTCGATTTTATGCCTGTCCTTATGAGTCTTGAGTCTTCTTTCTTTGTCTTAAGCATTGGTTTGTAGGTTTAGAGCACGCTAGGCTCTATTAATTAGAATGGATTATATCGATCAGTTATTAAAAAGTGGCGTTAAATTTAGTCCTGAACTAAAAAAATGTACAAAACTTAATTCTTATGTTGAATATATAAATGGAAAACGCTTGATATGGGATATTGTTCCATATTCAGTCCTTTAACTAAAAAAATATAAGGTAAAATTAGTTATATATTAAGAATAAATAGATAGAAAAAATCAAATATGTGTTGCTTAAACCTTGTTCTATAATTTCTTTAATAGCTCTCCGTTTCGGTCCTCATTTTGGCCATGATCCTGATCTTGACCCCATTTCCGACAAATCCCTTTTCCTCAATCTTAAATAAAAAATTGAGAACAATTTTTTTTTTTTTTTTTGAAAAAAATAGGAAAAACAAATCTTAATTACTTGATACAACTTCTTATATATAATAAAGGATAAATTTTGTTCTTTTCAATTAAGGACAAATACGGTTCATCTTTTAAGTCAAATACTATTTCTAAAGAGAAAGCAAGTTTAGGAATCTTTCATTAGTCTAATTTCTAAAAAGAGAACAAAAATTAGAAATCTTTCATGAGTCCAATTTTTAAATAGAGAACAGAGTTTAGGTTTTTTATGCTTATGAGTAGGGGTGGTAATTCGTGTTAGTGGGTCGTGTTTGTGTTAACTCGGTTATTAATCGTGTAAAAAAATATCAATTCAAACACGACCTGTTTATTAAACGTGCCAAAAATGTCAACCTAAACACAACTCATTTATTAATTGTGTTAATCGTGTCAACCCGTATAACTCATTTAAATTAATATATTGAATAAATAACTAATATAATAATGACTTATTTAACACGGTCAAGACATGTTTAACATGTTTATTGGTCAATTTATATTTTTCTTTAAGAAAATAAATGAATTTTACCTACAAGTATTAAAATTCACATTATTTGTATTTAATATGTCATATAAACTTTCATATTACATAACATATCATTAGATTACAGATGACACATATAGTTAATTGTGTCAATTCGTTTCACTTTGTGTTAGGAGGTCAACCCTAACCTAACCCATTTATTAATCATGTTAATTGTGTCAATTTGATTATGACTTAAACCCATTTATAATATACCTAAACCTACTAATTTCGTGTAAATTTTAAATCGTATCATCATGTCGTTACCCGAATTGTCAGCTGTAATTATGAGTTCAATTTATAAGTTTCCATCCAAAACTTAATAGGGACCATTCGCGAGACTTTTTTTTTTCAATTTAAAAAATGTTCATGTGACAAAATTAAAAGAAGAATTAGAGGACGTTTAGTTGATGGATTCAGAATTATTTTTGATTTATATGTATTTTTTATGAGAAAAAATACTATAATAAATAACAAATCATGACATGAATCTAATAACAAAATAACCCATTAGAGTCGTAATCCTATATATATATATATATATATATAAAAAGAGGACTAATCCTAAAAATTATTCGAACGCCCGCCCGCACTGTAACGACAACCGAGATTCAGAAAGGCTGTAGGCGAATGTTGTTATGCCAAAAAGATTAATTAATTAAAAAAAAGCGATGAAATGGTGTCGTTTCTGATTATCGTTGCCGCCGTCTCCAATGAGATTAATGCGTATCCATGACGCCACTCACGGCTCACCGGCTAACCCAGAAGAAACAAAACCCTCTTTCACAGTTCTTTACATTCCGTCTGGCTACTCTCTCTACTTCTTCACCTGAAGGGCAACATTGACGACGGAGCCTCTCTAATGGCGATCTCCAAGACTGGGACCTCTCACTCCTCCACCACGATCTCCAACTCCACCACCGAGATCGACTCCGAAATTCACAGCTTCAACCACCGCGGTTCACCTTTACTCACCGATTCCACCTCTTTCTCCGTTGAGGATAAGGTCCTCGCTTCGCATAGAGGAGTCTTTTACGAAGCTAAGGTATTTTCTCTCCACTCTCTCTCTTTCTCTTTCTCTCCTTTCCGTCTAATTTTCTGGCATTTTTCTTCAATTCTCGGAATTACTTGTTTTAGGCTTGGGATTTTTCTTGGGAGAACAAAGGAGAATCAAGAACGGTGCCAAATTCGGGCCAATTTTGCGGATTTTTCTTCGTTTTTAATGTAGCAGAAATATCTTTATCTTCTGATAATTCGTATAATTTTGCCTAAAATGCCGGTGTTGAAATGTTATTCAGTGCTTGTTTCACTAAGTAGAGCTTGTTTGCTATCTGCAAGGTGCTAAAAATTCAACATGACGCGAAGGAATTGAAGTTTTTTGTCCATTACCTTGTAAGTATTAACCAAGTTAATCAACATTTTGCTGCGTGTTTATGTTTTTATCTTTTTAAATTTTTGGTATGCTATCGTGATTGCATGTTCTTCTGTTCTAATTTCTGCAGGGCTGGAGCAAACAGTGAGTACATTTTCCTGCTAAAGTACCCGATTTAAAAATGAAAAAAAAGCTTCTGAACTCAAGCTATTATTGTTGGAAGTATGATCTCATTTAACTGTTGCGTTCTTCAGGTCATTCATTCATCCATTGTTTTTCTTCCTTTATTTTCATTTCTTGCATTGTGGACGTGATATTTTTATTTATTTATTTATTTATTTTAGCTTTGTTATGCTTATATTATTCTTAGCCAAAGTCTCAAACTTCCAAATAGCATTTGAATTATGATCATTATCGTGTTTTGAATCACCATTGTCAGGCAATAGAATGATAGACACCCATAATGCAAACTTTTGTACGTATTCTTCGATCTATTTATTGGCTTATACTGCTTGATGTCAATTCTTGATTTTTTCTTTCTTTCCTTCTATTTTCGAATTTTTGAACAGTTGGGACGAATGGGTAGGCTTAAATAATTTGGTGGAATACACTGAAGAGAATGTGCAGAAATACGAAGTAGAGAAAAGTATAAAGCCAGGCCGCTCTTCACGTATGAAACCAAAAGGTTCTGATGGCTAGGTTTCTTCTCTTGAATAATTTTTTGCTCTAAGATATTTTTATTTGTTCTTTGCACATAAGTAGCAAGAGTGATTCTTAATTTGGTTTTTTTTTTTTCAATTTCATTTCTTAATCTTGTAATTGATAGTCTTTCTTCATTATCTGATAAACAAAGAAATATTTACACTGCTGGCCAAAAAAAAGAAAAAAAAGTAACAACTACCTGGTGCTTAGAATATTGGGGGCAAACTTTCTGGAGACTTAACATTAAGATGAATATGGATTGTCAAGTTTGTTTCATTATATACTTATCTTTGGTTGTGGCTCCTTGGCATTGTCATGTGAGTTACTTTTAGGGGCTAGAGAAAGGTTCTTGATTATCAATGTTTTCTTGAAACATTTTATTTCATGCGTTGTCTATCCTTTGCTCTAAACCTGGATCTCTTGAATGATTGAATATTGGCAGTAAGCTAGTTGATTTTTTATGTTTTTTTATAAACTTCATTTTTTCCATTTTCTTCTGGTTATTTCCCACTACTAGGTTTTAAGTATTATGTATTTTAAGATCTTTATTGTCATTTTGGCTTGAATTTTAAAGTTTTTGTATTTTTTATGGCCTTTCGTCTTCTTTATGTTATTATGTTAAATTTTGCAGTCGTTAGAGGCAGAAAAAGAAAATATGATTCTGTCATGAAGGTATCTCTTTTATATTCAGATTATTGAGATTATTTATCTTTAATTGTTTTGGACCTTATTCTTAAGGTTTTGTATTGTTAGTTCTGTTAAGCTCCTTTTTTTTTTTTTTCATGTTAGGACAATGGTGCTGTATTCATGGAAAAGCTTGTGAATATCCAAATGCCACCCACACTAAAGAAGCAACTGAATGATGATAGCGTATTCGTTACTAATATGGGGAAGGTGGCTTTATTTTGTTCTTATTTGTATCTTACTTTTTGTAGGACAGACTGGACATTAAATATGGATAGAAATTGTATATAGGAAGCAGCATTTAGTTTTAGCAATCTAATTAGCTAAAAGTTGTTACTGGTAACATTTTTGTAATTTTGACTAGTGAGGTTTTTTACTGAACTTTTAACAGTAATATAAGTATGGTAATTGGCCTATTTTCCGTTACCAAAGTTAATCCTGACATTTCTGGCATGATTACATGACGGAAATGCGGTCATGCAGTTGGACTGCTTTTAATCTTTTGTATGTTTGAATTGTTTATTGGTTTATGCGATTAGTTTCCAGCACAATGTCTTGATTATCTCTGTTTTGGTATGTTGTTGTAGAATAGCTGAATTATTTTTCTAAAATATTCTGGAAATGTTGGTTGAGCTATCATTAGGCCTAGAGATGTCATGGCATGTACTTGATCTAAGTGGTTGGTGGTCACGTATTTTGGTTAATTCTGCTTATTAAATTTAAGTCTTCGGTTACATAGCTTGTCAATTAAATACTGATTGTATTATTGGATTTTTCAAGAAGCTGAAATAGTTATTCATCATTTGTTTCAGTAATTATCTTCTATTTTTTTTTTGTGTGTATGCTGATGAATTACCTGCCTAAAGGTGCCCATAATAAATTGGAAGGATTTATCTTATTTTGCAGCTTGTTAAACTTCCTCGAACTCCAAACGTACATGACATATTTAATACGTATGTAGACTACAGAGAAAAGAAGGATGGCTCGTAAGTCAGTTCCCTGCTTGTTTGTGACTGTTTGTTTTTTTTTTTCCCCTTTCTCTTGAAGTTGATTGGGCTTAAAAATCAATTTTGGTATCCTTTGCAATCACTCTCATTGATTTTTCCCCTTTATCTTGCAGCAGTGATCAGATAAAATGAGTTTCCCACTACTCTTCTCTTAACCCTGCACTCAAAATGAAACACTGTTGTTTTTGTTTTGTTTTGTTTTTTGTTTTCTTGTTTGGGCTTAAGTTGAATAGCCAATATGCAGAATTTTTCTTTCTTTCCCTTGTATTGCTTTTTAATCAATAATAACTTGGGGGCAAAGGTGGCGTAATGTTACACGTTATTTGTTTTCACACCAAATTATTTGTGGAAGATCTTGACAAGTGGGAATATGTGAAGATTCCTTGATCCTTCAATTGTCAACTGGAATTTTTCATATGTTTGCTAAAATTTGTATTGTTGACTTCATGGGACTATTAAAACATATTTGTCTCTAATAGATATCTCTGAAAGTATAAAAAAATAAATCAAAATATCTCCTGTTTATTTGCATCACACGAGCTTTATTTTTGGGTTTATACAATAACGAATCTTTTGTCAAGATATTTTGGACCGTTCATGTGCTTTTCAAATTTTGTCCAGTTTTTGGTGCTTAAAGTGTTATTGACCCAAGTGCTATCTAGTGTAGTGAGTTTTTGTTGGCATCTAACTTTTTCCCCTCATAGATGTCTGATTTAAATGCTCATTTCTTGGTTTAGATAAGTAAGATTCACGTCTATGTTGTGTTTTATTCTTAAATTGTGTTTGTAATGTTTTAATATTTCAAACATTATTTATTGGATCCAGATTTGATGATACGATTCGACCATTTGTGCAAAGTTTTGAATTTTACTTTGATAAAGCCTTGCCTGCAATGCTTCTCTACCAATGTGAACGTCGGCAATTTGAGGAAGCAACAACAGATGACATCTCTCCTTCAACCGTGTATGGTGCTGAACATCTGCTTCGCCTTTTTGGTAAACTCGGATGCTATTGCCCTTTGATACTGTGTTCTACCATCTTATTACATCTGACAGTGCATCTATTACATATTAAGATATTGAATCTCTGTTTCAAAAAAAAAAATAAAAATAAAAAGGAAGATATTTAATTGTTGATCATTATTTGGCTGAGCGAAGAAAAGGGAGAGGAGAGAGAGAAACAATGTAATAGAAGGGAGGAGGCAACCATTCTCTGATTTTTCTTTGGTTCTTAGTTAACTCAGGCTTCCTTAAAAGTTTGGTCCCAACATCAATTAGGTTAAAAGAACTCAGAAAAACACTCAAAGAGGCGTAAGCCTCATGCGCCTCTTGAGGCGTAGCCCTGAGGCATGGGCCTCACATGAATGAGGCGTAAACCTCATTACCCTACCCTCAAAGTGTAAGCTTTGAGGCGTTTTTTCAGCGCCTCACCACAAGGCGGGCCTTGAGGCGTAAGCCTCAGGCGCTTTTAAAAACATTGGTACATATAGTATGCTTATGGCGTGTGTGGTTGGTCAGATATTTTTGCCTGTCATCTGTTTGAGCTTGAGCTTCAAATATCTGTCTTGTCTCATCACTGATCGCCAACTTATTTGGGACATTTTGTATGATTTTTGATATGTTTATTCGTGGGTATTTTGGGGTTTTGTAATGTCTTAAATCTAAAATGTGTATTTATCCTTCTCCAATAAATTTTTCTTCGCTTTCTTAGATGCCATGATTGTAGATTATGTTGATCGAGTTAGCCATGTTCCATAGTCTTCTATTCAATAACTAGTGCTTTTTGTTTTTCCTGGTCAATAATTAATGCTTAGACATTGCTATGTATCTAATTTGGAAACATTATTTTCAAGTGCTGCAATATTGATTTCTGGTGCTTGTTGTGGTTGGAATATTGCTGCTGACCTGGCTAATATGCGTCTGTGTGGATGTGGAAAAGAATAAATGATAATATTTTATTAATCGCATTTACAAGAGCCTCTAATGGGCTATATATACACGTATAATGGATAAGAGATAAGAGGAGATAGAGACTTCCTAGAAGAGATATCCTAATATCCTAACTTGTTGTCATCCAAATCCCTAAATTCTAGGGATTAAGTGTTTTATCCAATTCCTTAAGTGTTTATCCCATCTCTTGCACCTATTTCCCACACTCCCCCTCAAGTTGGTGAATAGGCGTCCCTCATTCCCAGCTTGGTAGTAATTTCTTGGAAGGTAGCACTATTGAGTCCTTTTGTAAAAACGTATGCTAGTTGACTTTGTGGAGACGTATGGTGTGCAGATCAACCCGCTTTCTAGTTTTTCCTCGATGAAGTGCCTGTTTATCTCAACATGTTTAGTTTGGTCATGTTGCACCGGATTATGTGCAATACTGATTGCTGATTTATTATCGTAGTAGAGTCTCATTGGTCCACTCAATTTAATCTTCAAGTCTTCCAATATAATTTTCAGCCACAACAACTCACAGACACCTTGCGTCATTGCTCTAAACTCTGTCTCTGCACTTGATCGGGCTACAACATTTTGCTTTTTACTTGTCCATATCACCAAGTTGCCTCCAAGGAATGTGCAATAACCTGAAATAGACCTCCGATCCATGGGAGAACCTGCGTAATCTGCATCTGTATACACTTTAAGAACGAGCTCATTGTCTCTTTTGAACATGATCCCCTTCCTGGGATTAGCTTTCAGATAATGGAGCACTTGGTAGGCAGCTTGAAGGTGAATCTCCTTGGGATTATGCATGAACTGGCTGATGACGCTCACTGAATATGCTATATCTGACTGAGTGTGAGCAAGGTAGATGAGCTTCCCAACTAACCTTTGATACATTTCTCTGTCTACTGCTCGATCTTCAATAGCTTCTCCAAGCTTATGATTTGCCTCTATAGGTGTTGCGGCCGGCTTGCTTGCGAGCATTCCGGTTTCTCTGAGATGATTGGTGACATTGCGAGATGAATATGCCTTGTCTGGAATGCGTGACCTCAATCCCAAGAAAGTATTTCAACCTCCTCAAATCTTTAATCTCAAATTCTTTGATTAAACACTGTTTTAGGACTTGCTGCTCCTCATCATCCCCGGTTACAATAATGTCGTCTACATAGACTATTAAGGCTGTAACTCCCCCAGACTCTGAGTGCTTGATGAAGACGGTGTGGTCTCCCTGACTTTGCTTGTATCCAGTGGCTAACATTACCTTGGTAAACCTTCCAAACCAGGCATGGGGTGACTGTTTCAATCCATACAAAGCTTTCCTTAACTTGCATACCTTGTCCCTTTCAACTCCTTCAAACCCGGGTGGGATGCTCATATAGATTTCCTCTTCTAAGTCTCCATGAAGGAAGGCATTCTTCACATCGTATTGTTATAAGTTCCGATTAAAATTGGCAGCTAGTGATAGTAAGATCCTGACGGTGTTCATCTTTGTAATTGGCGCGAAGGTCTCTTGATAGTCAACCCCATATGTTTGGGTGTACCCCTTGGCAACTAACCTTGCTTTGTAGCACTCTAATGATCCATCCGCTTTGAACTTCAAGGAGAAAACCCATTTACACCCCACTGCTTTCTTCCTTTTTGGAAGATCAACTAACTCCCATGTCCCATTTTTTTCCAATGCATCCATCTCGACTCTCATAGCTTTTCTCCATTCTTTCTTAGATAGTGCCTTGGACAAAGTGTTTGGAATAGCAGTTTCATTTAAACTCGTGAGGAAGTTCTTATGGGACGGTGAGAACTTTTTGAAGGATACAAAATGAGATATAGGGTATAGTGGTCTTTTGGTACACTCTTGAGTTCCTTTTCTCACGGCTATGGGCAGATTTTGGTCAAAGGTTTGAGATTTCGGAGATGGGTGTTTGTTTTCTACAAGTAGGGGTTGTTAAAGTATAAAATTATTGTTGGCCCACCTCCTAATAGCTTAAGCTTTTGGGATGGATTGGTAAACTAACATGGTATCAGAGCGGGAGGTATTGAGTTCAAACCCCCGTAATTGCACTCTTTATCTCCATTTAAAATTGTCATCATGTGTTGGGTCACTTTTGCAAATCGTATGATCAAGAGTCCTATTTTCAAGTGGTATTGGTGACACAACAGGATCAGGAGGTACCGGTTTTGTGTTTGAGATAGGTGATGTTGGATTTTGAGTATGGGAGTGAGAAGGAGATGGTGAATCTGTTGATAGGTCAAGTAGGAATGGATCCTTATCTTATCTTCCATAATATATAGGATTCCCCCTGAAGATAAGGTGTAGTGAAATATGGTTTGTCTTATGCAAATGTGACATTAGCTGAGACAGAGTTTTCTGGTGGGTGGATGAAAGTATTTGTAACCTTTTTGTGTGGAGGAGTATCCTACAAAGACACATTTGATTGCCCTAGGATCTAACTTGCCCCGATTGTTGCTATGGATATGGACAAAGGAAGTGCACCCAAAGATCCTAGGTGTAAGGTTGTTTGTTGCACTAATGTCGGGATGGAACTTAGAGAGAACTTCCATTGGACTTTTCGACCCTAAAACCCTTGAAGGAAGTCGGTTTATAATGTAGGCAGCAGTAAGAACCGCCTCCCTCAATAGTGTTTCGGTATATTTTGATGAAATAAGAGTGCTCGGGTAGTGTTTAGGAGATGGCCATTTTTCCGTTCAGCAATCCCATTTTGTTGTGGGGTTTTGATGCAAGATGACTCATGAATAATTCCCCTCTTTTTGGAAAAAAGGAGATAAAACTTGATTAAAGTAGTCATTTGCATTGTCAGACCTAAACCTTTTTATTTTTGTTCGAAATTGGTTTTGGATCATCGTATGAAAGTTAGGAAAGATGTTACTCACATCAGATTTGTTTTTAGGCAAGAAAAGCCAGGTGACTCTAGTGCAATCATCGATAAAGGATACAAACCATCGTGAACCAGAAATATTTGGAAGAGTAGAGGGTCCCCATAGATTACTATGGATTAAATGGAATGGAAAAGAACATCTTTTATTGCTAATAGGAAAAGATGCACGAGTGTGTTTTGCATACTCACAAATATCACAATGAAATGTCCTAATATCTAATCCCTTAAACAAAGAGGGAAACATGATTTTTAAGGTTGTAAAGGAAGGGTGACCAAGGCGGAAGTGATGCAACCAGATGATATCCTTTTTTGTAGAAGAAAGAAACAAGGAGGGTGAATTTCTTGTGATCATACTTGGAAGGTTTGACATCTCAAGGTAATAAAGTCCATCCTTTTCTTCAGCACGTCCAATCTTCTTTCCTGAATCTTGATCCTGAAATTCACAATAAGAGGGATAGAACATAACATGGCAGTGTAAGTCTTTGGTAAGCTTTTGAATAGACACAAGGTTGGTGGAAAGTTTAAGGACACGTAGAACGTTTTTAAGGATAAGACTAGGTGTGATATGAATATCTCCTATTCCGGCTACTGTGGTTGTGGTTCCATTGGCAACAGTAATCTTTTTATTACTTGGGCATGGGGTGTAAGTGTTAAACTGATTTGGGGTATGTGTCATATGATCTGTGGCTCCCGAGTCTAAAATCCATGCATTCACAAATACTTTATCAGAAACATTCAGTCCACAAGAAAATGGAGACTTACCTGAGAGAGCTAACAAACAGTTGTTGGACGGTTTCTCAGGTGTTCCTAGCAGGTTTCTTAATTTTTCTATTTCCTCACTGTTAAACCCGCCATGTTCTTGTGCTGGATCATGATTCTGACTTACTTGTGAGGCCTTATAAGCCTGGCCATGTTGTCGTTGCTGCTGTCCTCCTTTATTTCCCCACTCACGGCTGGTTGTCGACGGCTTGCCATGTAATTTCCAGCAGCGTTCTCTTGTGTGTCTCGGCTTTTTACAGACCCTGTTGCTTGCTACAAGAAGTTGCGAGTGTAGATCCATCAGCCGTTTCTCATTCAAGCATCACTCCTCTTCGACTCTCTTCAGCCCGTATCAATGATATTATCTCATTAAGAGACGGTACTTCCATCTTACCTAGGATTTGAATCCTCATCTGGTCGAATTCAGGATTTAGACATGCAAGAAAATCATAAACTCGATCTCTTTCTATGAAGGTTTTTATTGCCCCTGCACATCTACTGCACTTTAAGTCAATTACTCGATAATAATCCAACTCTTGCCACTGATTTTGCAGAAAGTTAGCATACTCGGACACAGTTTGACTTCCTTGTTTTGTGGCTGCTGTCTTGGTCTTAATTTCGTATATTAGTGCTGCATCATGGACTTTAGAATAGGTTTGATTCAGTGCATCCCATATTGCCTTTGCGGTTGGTAGAAACATGCATGTATCGCTGATTTCGGGTGTCATAGAATTCTACAACCAAGACTCGATCATGGAATCCTCTTCGTCCCATGCTTCAAAAACCAGTTTCACCCTCTTTCAGTCCAGTTCCTAATAGATGACTCAATTTTCCTTTGCCTTTCAAAAAAGTCCGAACTAATTGGGACCACTTTAGGTAGTTTCTGTCGTTAAGTCTATAAGCAGTCTGGATATTCTGTAATTCTCTCGTGGAGCGTTGACTTTGTTCTTCCTCACGCTGCTAAGCTAATTGAACAACTGGAGTTGAAGAGGTTATTTCTGACATTTCTTAATCTGGATATGAAGTCACAGAGAAAGAGAGAAAACCCTAGCGAAGGAACACAAAAGGAAAAAAAAATGGATAGATAATTGATTAAAAAAAACTGCAATGAAGGCAAGTCAGGGAGAATTCGGCTATGATTTGCCGAAGAAGGAAAAAAAGTTTCTAATTCCAGGGAAAAAACAAGCCCTATAGCTCTGATACCATGTGGAAAAGAATAAATGATTATATTTTATTAATCACATTTACAAGAGCCTCTAATGGGTATATACGCGGATAATGGATATATATGCGGATAATGGATAAGAGATAAGAGGAGATAGAGACTTCTTAGAAGAGATATCCTAATATCCTAACTTGCTGTCATCCGAATCCCTAAATTCTAGGGGTTAAGTGTTTTATCCAATTTCTAAAGTGTTTATCCCATCTCTGGCACCTATTTCCCACAGTGGATATCCAAGCTTTCTGTGAATTTTTTTATTTTATCGTAGTCAATTTAATTTGTTGCTTAATTGTAGCGTTTCTCGAGTCGTTTGCTAATCAATTCATAAGTTGGGTGATATAAAGCTTTTCTTCTAAATGTTAATATGTTTCACATTTAATGTCATTTTTTGGTAAATTGCAGTCAAATTTCCCGAGATACTGTATAATGATAGAAGTGATACTAGACTTACAGAGGAGGAGTTGACGGACTTGCAGCAAAGATTGGTTGATTTTCTCAAGTATGAAACTCTTTTTTTTTTCCCCCCTAAATTAAGAGCTAGGATTTAGAAAATAATTAAAAAAAAGTAAGTGTTGAGAGTGGAGATAGAAAAATGGTGTACTAGGGCTTTGGTAGGGACATTGTTTCTTGCTTTCTATGTGTGTGCGTGTCGTCTTTATTATTTCATACTGTCCAATATAGTTTGCTAGTACATGTATATCCTTTGTCATGCAGATTCCTGAGGAAGAATCAGAGTGCATTTTTCCTCTCTACTTACCCCGAGAACGAAGACATTGAAACGAGCACCAACAAGCAAGATGACTAGCTCTGAACATGAGTTTTCCTGGGTCTTACATAGTTGTCGCTGACTCGGGTCTTTTTTACTGGACTTCCATAGTTGCCTATAACTCGACGGTATATCTCTTTGTACGTTTTCCCGAGTCTTCATTTTTCGTATACATACTTCATATGGTCCCAATGCCTAACTTCTATTAGGAATAAGCTAGGTATCTTCTTGTGTCTTATTTAGTCTGCACCCACAAGACTTGTTTTCCATGTTAATATAAATTGGCACAAATTGGATGATGATGGCAAAATGATGATGCTTTGTTAGTCGGGAGTATGATGGAAACTATATATATACATTGGTTGGACTTGGATCATGTTTTGTTGGAGAAGCTATGTAGAATATCTGCATGTTGTTTGTAATTGAGGGATGACATTGAAACCAATCCAAAACTTTTCTTCTTCTTCGCAATGATCTTGGGACATTCTAAACCACTTTATTTGTAATTTCACTTTACTTTATTGCTTTGCTTGTTTAACAAAGATATAACCAACCTAAAAGGATTATGATTTTTAAATGTCATCGAACTAAAAATTTTAATTGGACGATTAAATGAGGTTCTTGAATAAGTAAACAAGGGACGGAATCTTGTTTAAGACGTGTTTGATAGCAATTAGCAAGTGTCCCTTTTTCTTGAAGTAGTTCGAGTATTCTTTTTCTTTTTTGAATTTGATTGGTTGTAATTAATGCATTTTTGTTGTTCTAGATCAGCCGATCAATTAGTATTGTTGTAGTAGATACCCTGTTGGTTAGGGTAAATGAAGAGTGAACAGTCTATACTGGTTGTCATTGATCAGATTGATCTTTCAAATCAAAATGATCGTAGGTGTAGCTGATCTCATTAAAGCGATCATGTGGAGACCGGATAGCAGCATTGTGAATATATATTAGAGATTTCACGTAGTTTTTGGAATTTAATTTATTTTAGCATATATTTTAACAAAATAAAATCAGTTTAATAATAATAATAATCACAAATACAACAACAACAAAACAAATACAAGTCTTAATCTCAAATTAATTGGGGTCGGCTATATGGATTTCTTGTTTTCAGTATGCTCTATTAGACACGAGACCCTCATGAAGCCCTAGATATTGAAAGTCGTGCCTAACTACGTCAGTCCAAGTAATTCTTAGTCCACCCCTCGCTCTCCTAGTACTAGGTAGTTGGATGTTCTCCCAAGCATGAATAGGTGCATCTAACGATCTACGTTGTACATGCCTGTACAGACGGTGTTCCCGCACCTTATTTTTTATTGGTGCTACACCTACTTTACTACGAATAACTTCATTCCATATGCGATCCATCTTCGTATGACCACTTATCTATCTTAACATACGCATCTCCGCCACACTCATCTTGTATATTTATTATCTCTTGATGGCCCAACATTCACTACCATATAATATAGCTGGGCGAATTGCTGTTCGATAGAATTTTCCTTTCAACTTAATATACATCTTATCATCACATAAAACTCCCGTAACATTCTTCTACTTAACCCACCCCACCTTAATTCTATGTACAATATCCTCATCTATATCCCCTTCACACTGCATGGACCCAAGGTACTTAAATTTCCTAGAAGTCCCAATCACCACACCATCTAAAGAAATGTTATCACTCTGATCTCTCAAATTACTAAACCTACAATGCATGTACTCAGTCTTCGTTCTACTTAATCCCTCCGTCTCAAGTTTCTGTCTCCATAGTTTTAACTTACAATTAATTCTCTCCCGATGTTAATCAACTAAAACTATATTGTTTGCAAAAAGCATACACCAAGGAATCCCATCTTGAATTTCTCTTGTTAGCTTGTCCATAACGGTAGTGAAAAGATAAGGACTAAAAGCTAAACCTTAATGAAGGCCAATTCGAATGGGAAACTCTTCTGTGTAGCCTTAAGTAATTCTCACACTTGCGACAGCTCCATCGTTCATATCATTTATTATCTTAATATACCTCATACGCACTTCTCTCTTTTCTAGTACCCGCCATAACACTTCTCTCGGTACCTTATCATATGCCTTTTCTAAATCTATGAAGACCATATGCAAATCTTTCTTAGCTATTCTATACCTTTCAATCAACACCCTAAGAAGAAAAATAGCCTCCATGGTTGATCTACCGGGCATGAACCCAAATTGGTTACCTGAGATGGTAGTTGTGGCCCTATAGTGTGATTTATCAGCTTTATGTCCCTATAGTTGTTACAATTTATCGTATCTCCTTTATTCTTGAAGATGGGAACGAGAATACTTTTTCTCTAAGCATCGGGCATATGCTTCTTCTTTAGCATCTCGTTAAAAAGCTTAGTGAGCCACTTAATTCCAATATCTCCTAACACCTTCCAAACCTCTATTGGGATATCATCTGGCTCATATGCATTCCCCATTTTCATATCTTATAATGTAGTTTTAATTTCCGAATCTCTGATGCCTCTTGTATACATCACATTTGGTTCGCCTTGGTACCTAAGATCGCCAAACCCCATTGCATGATTTTCATTATAAAGTTTCTCAAAGTAACTCTTCCACCTCTCCCTAATATCTTCATCATTCGTCAGAACCTGATCTGTATCATCCTTAACATATCTCACTTGATTTAGGTTCCCACACTTCCTTTCTCTTATTTGAGCTAGTTTATAGATATCCTTCTCTCATTCTCTAGTCCCAAGTTTCCTATACACCTCATTCCAAATAAGTAGCACGAGCCTTATTGACTACTCTCCTAGCTTCCCTCTTCGCTTCTTTATACTTAATAAAAGTCTCATCATCCTTACACTTTGGTAGCTCTCTATATAAATCTCTCTTGGTCCTAGTAGCATTTTGAACTTCCTCACTCCACCACCAGGTTTCTTTTCTCGGAGGGCCTTTAACTCTAGATACTCCTAGTACCTCCTTTGTCACTTTTTGAATGCAACTCGCAATGGTGTCCCACATAGTATTTGCATCACCTTCGCATGACCAAGCAACCTCCTTTAACTTCTCCTTAAAAGCCAATTTCTCTATTCCCTTTAAATGCCACCAACGAGTTCGTGGGAGGTGATTTATCTTAGTCCTATGGTAAAGCCTAATGCTCACATCTAGGGTTAATATATCTGGCTCGAGTTCCTCCCATTCTTAAAAGTGATTAAATGTAAATCTCTTTTCTCAAAGAATGTGTTGGTTATAACAAAATCGTGTCTCAATGCAAATTCCAAAATAGCCAAAACCATCGTGAATCCTCTTGAAGTTTTCTCTATCCTTACCAACATGTCCATTCAAATATCCTCTAATAAAAATACTACCCTCATTACCTATACTACGCACTAAGTCATTCATGTCTTCCCAGAACTTGATTTTAGTTTCCTCATCCAATCCTACTTGTGGAACATAAGCACTAATTACATAAATGAATTTCTCCCCTAACACTAATTTGATCATAATAATTCTATCACCTAATCACTTAATCTTAACCACTTCATTCTTCAAATTTTTGTCCACTAGAATGCCAACTCCATTGCGATTTCTTTCCCAACCTGTGTACCATAACTTATGTCCTAGGTTTCCAATCTCTTTTACCTTCTCTCTCGTGTACTTGGTTTCCTGTAAGCATAAGATGTTAATTCTTCTTCTCAACATAACATCTACTAATTCTATAGATTTATTGGTTAAAGAACCTACATTCCAATTGTCTTGACGAATTTTCCTATCATGGGCTAGCTTTGCCCCCTACACACATCCATGAATGTGCAAGGACCCCCTTGCATATTTTTCACTATATCCGAGGCCCGACATGGCGCATGGGCTAGCTTCTCCCCCCGCACACGTCCATGAATGTGCGAGGACCCTCTTGCCTATTTAACACTATACCCGAGGCCCGACATAGCGCGTCGCACATAGGGAATGCCTCAACAGTCTGTAAATGAGAAATCCATGTAGAGTGACATATTTTTATTTTGGCTGTCATGACGATAATTTAAAATTAGATTTGAAAAATACTATGCCAGATTGATGTAAGGGGAAGTTTGTTCCAAAATTATAACAATTTCTTTTTCTTTTTCCTGTAAATGTGGTGCAGGTAAGTTATTTTTTGGGCTTGTTTAGTTCGGTGATTTGAGTTTTTAATTCGGGTTGAGACGTGATTTTTTATGAGAGCTTTTTACTATAATAAAAAAGTTAGATGTGACTGTTTCTGAGAGCTTTTTACTGTAAAAAAATTTAAATTTTAAACTCGAATCAGTGAAATGAACAGGACTTTCGTCTCTTAAGTATAAAGAGACTTTTGGAAGGTGAGATTTGTTTTTTGTTTTTTGTTTTTTTTTTTTTTTTTGCAGTGATGAAATTTGGCTCTCACATAAAATGACGTGGAGATATTAGCAGCATGATGAGGTGGGTACAGTTCAATAATAGCCGCCATAAGTAATCAACACATAGGTGATGATTGAAGGCATGACAGACTCATGAAATAAATGCACATTAAATTTTGTGATAAAGAAACTAATCTACTCGATACCTGTTTCTTTCTCTATAATCGGTGGTCGTATATTTTATCATATAAATTACAAAAATATTCAGTAGCGACCAATTCACCATAAAAAAAAAGCTGATCCAGTTCCACAACTCTCAACCATATATATGTGGCGGGTATTATGATAATCTTCTCATGTGTCCTCTCTTTGGCAATTTTTTGGCCATTTTCAACTTCAAAGCCCGACACTTTGAGTAAAGGATCATCTCTGTCGGTTGAGAAACCAGAAGATATTTTAACATCACCGAACATCATTTTCTCTGCCGGATTTTTCCCTGTTGGCGTCAATGCTTATTGCTTTCCTATATGGTTCAACGAGGCATATTCTCACAACAACAACAACCGTTCGGTGGTTTGGATGGAAAATCGTGACCAGCCAGTCAACAGAAAAGGCTCAAAGCTGGCTCTCTTAAAAATTGGTAATCTCATTTTGACTGACGCCGGTCGAATAACCTTTTGGGTAACAGGCACAGCTTCACTCTCACTACTCAAACTGCACCTCCAAAACTCTAGTAACATGGCTCTACGTGCCCCTGCTGGTGTCGTTTTGTGGCAAAGCTTTGCTTCTCCCACGGACACTGTTCTCACTGTTAGTTTACTAATCCATTTCAAAAGCTTAAGCTATTAGGAGGTGGGCTAATAATAGTTTTATACTTTAACACTCCCCCTCACGTGTGGGCTGCACAATGAGCAATCGTGTGGGTAAATTAAGGGAGAAAGAAGGAAATATGTCAAGACTTGAGATGAATTTAAATTAATAGGCCAATAGTTTACATAAGTTAATAAATAGGTCAAATTACTGTTTTCGTCCATAACTTGTCTGGTTATGAACCATAACTTGACAAGTTATTGTCCATAATTCACAGTTTTTGTTCATAACTAATCTGAT